ACAGCAGGTGCGTTAGCGAGACCGTAGACGAGACGCGTATATTTAAATAGCCCTTTCGGTGTATTTATGGTTGTTAATACTTGTGAGTCGTCGGACAAGATAAATTGATTATATGCGTTTTTTAGGTCAATTTTGGAGTATTGTTCACCCCCACCTAGTTTTGCAAACACCTCCTCAATCCTCGGTAAAGGATATTTATCAATTATTAAATCTTTATTGAGTGTAATAGAGTAATCACCGGCAATTTTCACTGTACCGTCGTTCTTCAACACCGGTACTATAGGCGTTGCATAATTAGAATTATTTACTGGAACTAATATACCTAATTTTACAAGTCTATTTAATTCCGCTTCCACCTTATCTTTTAGGGCAAAGGGTATGGTACGAGCTTTAAAAAATTTTGGCACGGCGTTTTCTTTCGATTGTAATTGAACCCTAACCTTCATAAAACTACCCACTTCATTTCGCCACAAATTAGGATATCGTTCCAGCAATGTGTTTACATTATCATCCTGACTCAACTTATTAATATTTGTAGTCAACATCAGACCAAAAGAGGACATAAAATCACGTCCCAGCAGGGGTGGGCCGTTTGAATCTACTACAAATATTTTTAACGGTTTTATTTCATTATTAAATGTATCCTCACTCACGAAATGCCCTAATGGCGCAATTTTATGTCCATTATACAAACACATTTTAATATTACTATGAATTAGATTATGCATCAAAAACTTATCGTTGTACATATTTTTTGATATTACTGATACCCCCGACCCCGAGTCTAACTCCATAGTCACCATTTTATTACTTAATAATAAATCTATCTGGATCGGCTTATTATTAATTACATACCTTAAATTAAAGTTATGGCACTCGCCACATCCGGTATCACTATCCGTATCATTATTTTCGTTTTCGATTTGGTTTACATAAACACTTTTATTTTTTTTATTACACATTTTTTTTAAATGCCCTTTTTTACCGCACTTTTGGCACTTGTAGTTTTTATAACGGCACTTATCTTCGCTGTGGTTTTTTAAACCACACACTAAACAATGTAAATCGCGTAAATACTTATGTTGATCGCGGCCCGCTTGTGATGCACACGCCATTCGTGAATTCATCCCGCCGCCATATTTACTGCCACCACTGTTTTCGCCGCCATTTTTTCTACCTGTTGAGCTGTGCGATAGTTTATACATGGCTTCTTCTTTTACAGCCACCGAGTCTGATACTAGGAACTTCGCATCTCTAGCACATTCTGCCTTTTCCGCTATTTCTATAGCACGAGCTAACTTCAACTCGGAAACATTTTGTTCAAACAACTTGTCACGCTCGGGGCCAGACCCCAGGCCTAGGACGAACCGGTCCGTAAGGTTTGTGTCCAGGGCAACACCGAAGTCGCAGTAACTTGCTAATCCTCTTAGTCGTGCTGCCCAGTCCCCCAGCGACTCGCCGCAATTTCTTGTGGCGCCGTAAAATTTTGCTCTGTCAGCAAATGAACACTGTTTCGGTTTAAAATGGTTGTCGAGTAACACCACCAGTTGTACAAAACTCAGTTCCTCCAATTCTTCAGGGTAAGCTAGGTTACGCACGAGACGGTATGAGTTGTCTGATAAATGCGTAATCAGTATTGCAGATTTATTGTCCTCCTTTACATTATTCACTTTTAAAAACTGAGTCAATCTACCTTTAAAAATAGACTACTCACAGTTTTTATAGTCAAAGATAGATAAATTTCCTATAAAAGACATTTTTAATTTTTATTGCAGGTAAGATCGTCCTCGTCGCCACTGATATGTATAAGGTTACACGGTAGTAATAGAAACAACTGTTATGCACAAGTACTGGTTTATTACTGACTGTGTTTGAGTTACAGGCTCTATAACATTATTAGGAGGTAGTCATAATAATAGTGGTAGGTAGGTAGCTACACATCAGTTACGCTCAAGAACTTCATATGGATCACTATAAGCAAACTGGAGTGCACCGCGTAACGACTCTTCCCTGAGGAATACGTGGCTACATGTGGCAAGGTCCTTGAAAATGAATGTTTTGAGTGTAGAATGGTGCTGAGTAGGAACTGGACGAATAGAATCTGCGAACGATTTAATTCGAGCTGAGAAATCGGTGATGTCAGTTGTGTAGTTGCTGACTTGATCACCAAAGAATTCGCCCGGTAGTCTGAGTGGTTCACCATACACCAGTTCTGCTGATGAAGACTTAAGGTCTTCTTTAAACGAACTTCTTATGCCCAGGAGTACTAATGGTAACGATTCAGTCCAGTTTGGATCAGCGTGGCAGGTTATTGCGGCTTTCAGTTGTCGATGAAAACGCTCAACCAAACCGTTACACTGGGTATGATAAGCAGTTGTGCTACGATGCTTAAAACCAATGGACCTGGCCAACTGTTGGAACAGCGCCGACTCAAATTGCCTACCTTGGTCTGTAACGATATCGGTAGGGCAACCGAATCGGGCTATCCAATTGGATATAAATGCTTTGGCCACTGTTTCTGCGGTCATGTCAGGTAAAGGAACAGCTTCCGGCCATCGCGTGAAGCGATCGACGGCTGTCAAACAGTACCTATAAATACCGGAAAGAGGTAGGGGTCCGACTAGGTCTATATGGACGTATTTAAATCTAGCAGAAGGCAAGTTGTGTGTACCTAAAGGAGATGAAACTTGCCGAGTTACCTTCGTGCGCTGGCAGGCTAAACATGCCTTAGCCCATTCACGGCATTCTTTCCGCATGGTGGGCCAGACGTAACGTTGAGCAATAAGTTTGGCTGTAGCATTGGCACCTGGATGACTCAGCGAATGCATACAGTCAAAGATTTGCCTACGGAGGTTTCTGGGGACGAATGGCCTGGGTGTCGGTGTACTGATATCACAATACAGTTCGGCACGACTCCCAGGTATATTCATTTTGCTAAAACGAAGGGATGATTCGCCCTGGAGACATTCCGCGAGTTCAGTATCGGTTGTCTGTTCCTGAGCTAGTAATTCAAAATCGACTGGTTTTTGCAATTCACTAACACGGGACAGAGTATCTGCTACGACGTTATCTTTCCCTGAGATATGTTGGATATCGCTGGTGAATTGCGAAATAAAGTCGAGATGCCTATACTGACGGGGTGTGCAGTTACTTTTCCGCTGATGGAATGCATAACAGAGTGGTTTATGGTCAGTATAAACAGTGAAGTGTGTAGCCTCTAACATATAGCGAAAGTACTTAATGCTCTCATAAACAGCAAGGAGCTCCCGGTCATACGGAGAGTATTTTCTTTGTGATGGGCTTAATTTGCAGGAGAAAAATGCTAGAGGTTGCCAATGTCCGTCCTTTAGCTGTTGTAAAACACCACCTATTGCAGTGTCAGATGCATCAGTGACTAGTCCTAACTTAGCCTGAGAGTCAGGATGTGCTAAAAGCGTTGCCGTGCAGAGACTATTTTTGCAATTTGTGAATGCTTGTAATGAATCTCCCTTCAAGGCAATGGGGTGCGAAGCTTTGATGGATCCTGTAAGAAGAGCGTTAAGAGGACCTTGAATTTTGGCGGCATTAGGTATGAAGCGTCTGTAATAATTGATCATACCCAAAAACCGCCTGAGTTCTCTCACCGTCTTAGGCGTGGGGAAGTCAGAGATCGCCTGTACCTTACCTTCCAGGGGCCTGGTACCTGTTTCAGATATACTGTAACCTAGAAATGTTACTTCTTTAGCACCAAAAATGCATTTAGAAGTATTTATTAGCACTCCGTAGTCTCTCATTCGGGCTAGAATTTGGTGTAAGTGTTTTTCATGTTCTTCTTCTGTTCTAGACAATATCAAGAAGTTATCTAGAAAAGGATAACAAAATTCTAGGTCACGGGTCATCTCATCAACAAACCTCTGGAAAGTTTGGCCTGCATTTCGCAACCCAAATGTCATGAAAGGAAATTCATACAGTCCGAAAGGCATAGTAATAGCGGTTTTTGATATATCCTCTTCAGCCACCGAGATCTGATTATAGGCTTTTACCAGATCTATGGTTGAGAAGTACCTACACCCTGATAAGTTATGGGAAAAGTCGTGAATGTGGCGGATAGGATATTTATCAGGGACAGTTCTGGCGTTGAGCAACCTATAATCGCCGCAAGAACGCCATCCGTTGTCTTTTTTAGATACAAGGTGTAAAGGAGAGGCCCATGGACTGTCAGATGGACGTGCAGTACCATTACCTAACATTATCTTAAATTCCTGCTTGGCAAATTTAAGTTTGTCAGGGGCGAGTCGGCGAGGTTGGCACGAAACTGGGGGACCTGGTGTGGTACGGATGTGGTGTTTAGTGTGGTGTTTAACGAAACCCGGGGTACCAGCTGGGCGTGTAATTTCTAGGTATTGAGCAAATATAGATAGATACTTACAGAAACTACCGTTCATCATACCAGTCAATACTTTAACACTAGACACTAAACTGTTACGTTTTGCAACATTAGCTACTGTGCTGGTGTTAGTTATACTATCGAGAAGTCTACGGTTCCCAATATCGACAATGAGTTTATAATGATTTAAAAAATCAACTCCGATTATAGCCTTTGTAACATTGGCAACAATAAATCGCCAAGGAAAATCGCAGCGTAACCCTAAATTCAAATTTAGCTGAATGTAACCGTAGGTATCGATAACAGAACCATTAGCAGCACTAAGTTTGTATTCCATTTTAACACGACGTTCACGAATCACTAATATTGGATAAACACAAACGTCACTTCCAGTATCCACCAAAAATTCCATATTGGATCCGTGATCGGTCATGGTCAGACGGCCGACGGAGCTCTGGCAATCATTCGCGGCCATCACTGACTGCCTAGGTCGTTTCCCGTTTTGAAGTCGCATGGCTTGATACATTTCTTCGCCTGCGTACCGAATTGTTTGTGGTACCAACAGACTGGAAACTTTCTGTAACTGGAGTTTGATCTGCGTGATGTCGATCGGTGTCGTTGACCACCTTGACGTCTATCCTTCGGTCGGGGCGTGAGCACTAAGGGCACTAACTTGTCTCGTCAGTGCGGCTACCTGCTTGGTTAACTCCTCGATTGGTGAAGGTGCAGGCGCTGTAGCTGCTGCCACCTGGTGTGAAACTGGTGCTATGTCGTGAATACGGTCGGCGAGCTCAGCCAAGGCGTCCAGGGATAGGGTAGGCTGCGACGCGATGATCGGTTGCATTCCCGCAGGTAGTCTGCTAGACCAAATCGTCCTGACAAAATCTTCAGGAACCTGGGGTCCAGCCAGATGTTGCAAGTGCCGAAGGAACTGCGATGGTTTACGGTTTCCAAGTTCTTCGTGCATCAACAGCTGCTTCACCTTATTCTCGCGTGAAACCGACAGTCGTTTTATCAGTTCCGCTTTCAGACGCTGGTAGTCTGGAGGTCCGACGAGTATGTCTTCTACCTCCGAAGCGTATTGCCTGTCCAGATTACCAAGAATGTGGAAGAATTTGGTCGCGTCGTCAGTTATACCGCATGCTAAAAATTGACATTCCACCTGCGCAAACCAAATTGCTGGTTTTTCGGCCCAGAATGGCGGTATTCTAACTTGGGGCGAATAAAATTTACTCGTCTTTAAACTATGTCGACGTTTTGTATTTACATTTTGTTTCTGGGATTCTCCCGAATCACTGCCACTGCTCATTTTAATGTCTTGTGTTCTCGGGGTCACCACTTTGGGGTAATTGTTAATAATACTCCCAATAAACTCGTAATTATTTAATTGAAATGAGCGTACAATCGAATCGATCGAGCGAATAATCGCAACTGGCTATGACCGAGCGGCAGCGGACGCTGCACGGTGCAGCAAAGCGATGCGTTACAAAACTTGTTAGACGACTCTCAGGTAAGTACATCACAGAAAGTCCGGCCAACCGCATACTACGGGTTTCGCTCGAGTATGCTCATGAATTAAATTAATGTTGTACAATAATGATTGTATGAGTATATAAGTATAGTGTATGTATATTATAAGAGTATAAATGTATATATATTTATATTATTATAGTTATATATGTGAATATATTTTAATAAAATATAAAATATAAATCTGTAAATATGAACTTTAAATCACCTACACCTACCTATACTTTATTTTCAAATTCAAATTTTTTCAAATTCAAAATATCTTTATTCATGTAGGTCTATTACAGACTCTTATGATATGTCAAATCTACCGTCAGTTCGGAATGATATCGAGATGAGAAGAACTGACAAGAAACTCAGCTCGTATTTTTTTCAAATAATATTGGAACATGTTCATGATAAATACAGTTATTAAAATTCAAATTTGGGAGAATAGAGTGACCACCAGCATATGCTATCAAAAAAGCAAAGAACAAAAATTTAACCAGTGTTCACAACATGAACAGACCAGTCCCCACAAGCAGCACCCGTTCACGAGTATGACGTATGAGCCAGCCATCATTGTACTCAACCATATTTGAGGGAGCACATCGACCCGGCCCACCACGCCGCCACAAGTTTGAACTTTATAGCGAGCATGACTGTTTCAGGTTACTCCACTACGTCAATTATATTATTTACAGCATAGGCTGTACCGATCACAGTTTTCACCCATTACAATATTAAATTTACATTATTTAATTTACAATATGTCATTACAAAATTTATAATAAGTTTCTTTATTGTTATTACATTATCCATGTCAATGGGAAACATTATATGCCTCATAATAGTAATGCCTATTAATTTGGTGTTAATGCTTTTTAAATAAACACCCACACATTATTACTGAATATGCTATAAAAATTCCTAATTAATATAAATTTCAGATAGTGCCACAACCTCATTTAAAGAATGCAAATACCTGGCATTATGTGTGTAATAATAAAATGTGAAGAAATTGTGATTGTTATTAAGTTTTTTTTAATAAGTTCATCAGACCAGAGAAACAACATTTGACGTTTATTATTGTTTGACATTGGACATTGATTTTAATTTTTGTAATTTATATTGTAAAACTTTAAGTTGGGCTAAAAAGGACTTGTATTCAGAGCCGTGAAACAAATTAATATAAAAATATTGTCAAAATTGTCTCGCAATTGGCCAATTTAATGAAAAAACACATAACTGTATACTCTTTTGTCATAAAAAATTGTTAAAAACTATATTTTCGCGAAACGTCAACGTCACATGTCATATGTCACAGTTCTTTGTGATCTTTGGCGCGAATGCACGCGTAGTGTTGATTGGTTGTTAGCTAGTGACATGAAAAGATGGCGACTGCAGTTTGTTTGTCAGTGTTATTAGAATTTAACAAAACATAAAAAATATTTATTTCGAGTCGATAACATATATCCATGTTGTCGACTCGAAATAAATATTTTGTTATATTTTGTTATTCACATAAGGTTTCGTTCGAGCCTACCGTACCCCTTGACGGAATTATTAATATAGATATGACAGTCAAAGTTTGTAAAAAATTACCCTTAATGGAGTAAAATAAAATAGGGGATGAAAGTCTAGCTTAAAAAATCATGAATTTACATAAAAACTTGCATCCCCTATTTTATTTTACCCCCTTAAGGGTAATTTTTTTACAAACAATGATTGTCATATGTATTTACATTTAATCAACAGTCTCAACAATAAGTTTCAAGCTTCTAGCTTCAAAAATGACGAATTTACATAAAAACTTGCATCCCCTATTTTACTTTACCCCCTTAAGGGTAATTTAATAATTAAGGTTATTATCTTCTTTATTCTTTATTGTACACACACACATAATAAATGAAATTATACAGAATAAATGTAATGTACAAGGGCGAGCTTATCTCTAAAAAGAGATTTCTTCCAGCAAACCTAGAAAATGTTATAGGATAGTGTATTCACTAGAATAGTCAGACATACGTGTACGAAAAGAGGAGATATTAAAATATTGTTCTAATGATATTAACTATAAGTATCAATAGACATACATAAATATATAAATATATAGACATACATAAATGGTACATAAATAAATTATAAGACATAAGTTAAAATGTAATTATAATATATACCTAAATATATAAATATAAATATAAAAATACGTCAGCATTGTGAAAGATAATACGTTTTTAATCGGCATTTGAATATTTCAATACTAGAACTGGCACGTATTTCGTGAGGTAAAGAGTTCCACAATCGAATAGCCGTCACCACAAAAGAGCTAGAATATGCCTGCCCAGAGTGTACTGGAGTCCGCAAGAGTAATTTATTCTGAGATCGAGTGTTCATTTCTGTCGGATGGAGAAAATTAAAACGTTCGCGGAGATAGGAAGGTGCAGAAGGATTATGCAAGATGTTGTACAGAAGACTGAGAGTGTGAACATTCAGTCGAAAATGAAAGGGCAACCATTTTAACTGATTACGGTATTGAGTTATATGGTCAAACTTACGCAAACCAAAAACAAACCAAATTCACATGTTTTGGAGACGTTCCATTTTGTTGAGCAGTTCACCAGTGGCATCAAGAAAACAAACATCTGCATAATCTAGGAGAGGTAAAAGGAGTGTATGAGATAATTCGACCTTCGTTTTAAATGGAAGAAATCTCTGAAGACGCCTTAAGGAGTGAATGGTCCCATATATTTTCTTACTCACATGTTTAATATGAGAAAACCAGGAGAGGTCACTATCAATGTAAACACCCAAATCCTTTACTGTTTTAACATAAGAAATTATATCCCCATTGTATATTATTGAAGGAATGTGCATTAAATCTAATAAATTAAGCATATATCTACTGTCAATTATAATCGATTGTGATTTATTGGTATTAACAAGCAGACCATATGCCTTAGCAAAGACACAAATACACTCGAGTTCCGTACTGATCAAGGAGATAGCATTATTAACAGATGGTAGGTCAAACCTGCGGTACAGTTGTAGATCATCAGCGTAGTGATGGAAGTTGTAAGAGAGTACTTTCGTCAGGGAACTGATGAAGACAGAGAAAAGTAAGGCAGAGAGAACACCTTGAGGGACGCCGGCAATCAGTTCGCACCAATCTGAAGTATTCCCATCCAGGTACACGCACTGCCTGCGGCCCCTCAAGTATGAATCAAACCATTCTAAAACCAGTGGAGATACGTTAAAAGAGTCAAGGATGCCAAGGAAAATATCGAAGTCAATAAAGTTGAAGGCGTTACTGAAGTCTAATAAAGTGAGGAGTGTGAGCTGTTTATTATCTTTAGCAAGGTGAATGTCATCTAGTATTTTAAGTAAAGCCGAAACTGTGCTATGGGCAGGACGAAACACAGATTGAAAAGGAGGTTATTTCTATATAGATAAAGGGATAATTGTTGATGAACAATATTTTCTAAAATTTAGGATAATACAGAATATCTTCTATACTTATAATAAATTTATAGAGAGGTCAATTCTGTACATGAAATATATTTCCAAAATAACTATCAGGGGGTGATTAGTGATCGGTACTGATGCCAAATTCTTTATACTCCTGGGCAGGTTGCTTTTCATTACGCTACGATCAATAGGAGCAGAGTAGTGAAGGGAAATGTTAGAAAAACGGGAGAAGTTACTACATTTTTAAGCTTCCGTCACGTGTGCAGCCATAACGATTAAAGCTACACTTCTGTGTATCTACTACACTATCGTGTATGACGGAAATGGTTGACTCATATATATTTATTCCATAAAAAAAGAATCATATAAATCGGTATAGATACACCAAAGTTATAGATGAAATATGCTAATAAGCCATCGCACGTGAAAATTATTCTGAGACCCCGGTTGAATATTTGAAACACCATTGCACAGCTCTGTGTTTTTAAAATAGACCACTTTAATTCAAATTAAAAAAAAGTAGGTATATAGGTATATCTTGTTAATTACGATTGCATTTTATATTATTATTATATAATGTATAATGCCAGGATATTCCTAAACTCATTTTGCGACAAAATTTCTTCAACACTAATTGTTATACAATATTTAATTTTATTACTATATTGTTAGGAGTATCCTCTAAATTTAATTAAATAAAAGAAACTGATAACAAATCGTATAATTAATTTTAACAAAATCAGTAAAAGAACTTATAAAGCAAACACGGTATGATACGGAGATTCGTTCGAGAGCACGTCTGTCGACCAAAAGAGGCCGCACACCGGGTTTCGCAGCCTTTTATAGACGCGCCGCCCGACGGTGGCGCCACCACAGGAAGTTACACCTAACACGGCCTCTCCTGACGGAGCATCGTCCCCGATGCTTTCTGGTCACGGCGCGTCGTCTGGTCCGACTGCTAATCTTATGCGCTCCGTCCAGGCTGAAGGTATTCTCTGGGCTATTGCTCGGAGACGAGTCAACAGTGACTCTTCACAACCTGTGAACCATAAGTTAGTGGTAAGCATTTTATTTTTGGAAGTAGGATCACGTTGCCTCACAAGGACTAATCTAAATCTGATCTAAGCTTGTATACATAGAAGCCACACAAAGCTTTATACGAGAGGTAACCTATAACACACTTTACGCTACACAGAGCTTTACACGAGATGTATCCTATAACAAGCTGGATGCTGCCCAAAGCTTTACACGAGGTGAGGTGTATCTTATAACACACTCGATGCTGCACAAAGCCTTACACGAGGTGTATCTTATAACACACTCGATGCTGCA